TGACTTCATTTACAAGAATATTAACAAAAACTCTTACATGAATATTCAAAACCTCACGGTATAGTAAAGGTGAAAGTAAATAGATTTTATTAAGATTTTTATGTGAATTTGCAAAATAGCTAGAATTTGATGGTTACACTGCATTTTTAAATTTTTATTTATTTTTACGAAAGATTTTTCGTCATAGTTAAGAGTAATTTTATAAGTCACTTTAACATTTGTTGAGGCACAATTTTTTTAATAGAATATTTAAGTTGAAAATTTAAAAATAAATGGATAAAACTTGTAGTGGGCCAAAAAAAAAAAACACTGGTTAAACGGGACTCCTTTTATTTAGAATATAAACAAAAAGTTTTGCATGAATTTTCAAAACTTCACGTGCCACGAAGGTGAAAGTAAATAAATTTTATAATTATTTTTGTACAAATTTGGAATAATGTTGAGAAAGCGTAACGCCTAGGTTGTTTTTTGTTTGTTTTTTTTGGAGGAAAATGCAATTTTTTTGTCTTTGTGAAATATTTTTCGTCATGATTAAGGGTAACTTTATAAGGCAATTGAAATCAGTTTTACCATTTATTGAGCTACCTATTTTAATAGAATATTAAGCCCAAAACTAAAAAATAAATGGACAAAAGTTGTAGTCGGGCACAATACATCGTCGAAACGGGACATTATCTACAAGAATTTCAACAAAAGTCTTACATGAAATTTCAAAGCCTCCTAGTGCGATGAAGGTGAAGACAAATAAATTTGTGTACAAATTTGCAAAATCGACTAGAAACCGTGATGGATAGCTAATGTTTTTGTTGAGAAAATGAATTTTTTTTAATTTTTGCGAAATATTTTTTGCCATAATTAAGAGTAACTTTATAAGGCAATTAAAAATGGTTTTACCATTTATTTAGCCACAAATATTTTTTTAATAGAATATTTAAGCCAAAAACTTAAAAATAAATAGACAAAATTGTAATGTGGCTCAAAACATACCAAAAAGGGACTATCTACAAGAATATTAACAAAAGTCTTACATGAATTTCAAAACCTCATGGTGCGGAGAAGGTGAAAGCAAATAAACTTTATGCCGATTGCCATACGAATTTGCAAAATGGTCTAGAAAAATGTATTTTTAATAGAATATTTAAGCTGAAAACTAAAAAATAAATGGACAAAAATTGTAGTGTAGCCCAAAACATTATTGAAATGGGACTCCACCCTCAATAATACCAACGGAAAGTCTTATATTAAATTTCAATACTTCACGGTGAGTAGAATTTGCAAAACCGATTAAAAACTGTGAGTTACCCATGTTTAAGTTTTGTCAAAAATGAAATTTTTTTTTATTTTCCTGAGCATTAAGTTAAACTTTTTAAGGAATTTGGAAGCAATTTTACAGTTTATTGAGCAACAAATGTATATTTAGTAGAATATTTAAGCCGAAAACTAAAAAAATAAGCGAAAAATATAATGGTGACGCACATAACATTGTCAAATGGCATTCTACACTCAAGAATCTCAACGGAAAGTCTCACCTTAATTTTCAAAACTTCACAGTGAGGCGAAGGCAAAAATAAATAGATTGAACGGTGATTTATGTACGAATTTGCAAAACCAACTAAAAACCATGAGTGTTAATCCACGTTTTTTTGGTAAAAAAAAATGCAAATTTTTTATTTTCAGCGATGATTAAGGAAATCTTTACATGTATTCAGAAGCGGATTTACGATTTATTAAGCAACAGGTGTATATTTAATAGAATATTTAAGCCAAGAAGTAAAAAAACAAGTGAAGAATATAGAGATGTTAAAATGTATATTTAGTGTATATATTTAAGTTTTTTTTTTTTTTTAATTCTAGATGTTAAAATCACCTGTAGGTGAGGTTTAAACAAAAAATAGTAAAATTTTGTTTTGTTAAATAGCATTTCACCCTCTTTTGGTTGACAAAGAGAGTTCTATTATTATGTATAGATAAAAGAAAAACTAACCAAAAAAAAAAAAACCAGGTTCAAATATCTTTAAATTTAGATTTTAAATCGTTGATTACAAGTGTTTAAATACGAATTATAATAGATTTTGCACAAAAAAATATATTTTGATGAACATGAATGTGATGGTTTGTTGTAGTGCTAAGGGAAATAAAAGAAAAATGTTCCAAATTCTTGCAAGTGGCAGCTGGTACCTCGCTAGCGACAACTCTTGTGGACAATCGGAAGCGAAGTACTGACCATATCATTTTCTATTGAATTTTTTTACCTTCCCACCTTACTTTTTTTTTTTTTTTTTTTGTCAAACCTACCTTACTTTGTTTAGATTCAAATACCTTTAGATTTATATCTATATCCTTATTTTGCTTGCTCGCCTTTTGCAAGTAGAGCCCACCTCGTTTTGCTGGCACAAGGCCTGCCTCATTTTCTATGCACCGGGTGCATCTCGTTATGTATGAGCGGAGTTCGCCTCGTTTTGCCTGCGTTGAGCCCCCTAACACCCATGTTTTTTTTTGTTAGAAATACAATTTTTTTATTTTCACGCAATATTTTCTTGAGTACTAAGGAAAACTTTATAAGGCATTTGGAAGCAGATTTACTACTTATTGAGCAACAAATGTATATTTAGTAGAATATTTAAGCCAAAAACTAAAAAATAAGTAAAAATATGGTAGTGAGGTCCAAATCATTGTAAATTGTTTTGCCCTCAAGAATACCAACGAAAAGTGTTACCTTAATTTTCAAAACTTCACTGAGAGTGAATGTGAAAATAAATAGATTGAAAGATGATTTAGGGCGAGGATTGGTAGCGTGGTACCTGATCTTTCCCTATTCTAATTTATTTCCTTTATTTGAGTAATCACTATTAAATTCAAATATCTTTAAATTTAGATTCTAAATCGTTGATTACAAGTGTTTAAATATGAATTATAATAGATTTTATACGAAATAATATATTTTGAAGAACATGAATATGATAGTTTGTTGTTAAGATAATAGAAATACAAGAAAAATTAACAACAAAAAAAAAAAGAAAAAAAAATAGAAACATTTGAAAAGCCGGGATCGTTATGATACTAGCGACTTATAGTTATGCTACTAGCGACTTATATTGGGTACAGCTACCTCAGTCGCGGCAACTCCACTGTATAATCGGTACCTAAGTACCGATCGTATCATTTTCTATTTTATTTATTTATTTTGTACTTTTTTCTATTTCCGTTGAATTATTTTTCTTCCTACCTTACTTTATTTAGATTCAAATTTCTTTAGATATATATCTATATCCTTGTTTTGATGCCGATCTTTCGTGCCGGAGCCACCCTCTCATTTTTTGTGCTCGGTGTGCCTCGTTATGTGTGAGCGAAGTTCGCCTTGTTTTACTTGAGTCGAGCCCGCCTAACAAAAGTTGTTTTTGTTAAAAATGCTAACTTTTTTATTTCGCAAAATATTTTTCGTGAGCATTAAGAAAAACTTTATAAGGCATTTGGAAGCGGTTTTATTGTCTATGAAGCAATAAATGTATATTTAGTAGAATATTTAAGTCAAAAATTAAAAACATAAATGACAAACATAGTAGTGAGGCCTAAACATTGTTAAAATGGGGTTCCACCCTCAAGAATATCAACGGAAAATCTTAATTTTATTTTTTTAAACTTCAAGATGAGGCAAATGTGAAAATAAATAGATTGAACGATGATTTATATACGAATTTGCAAAACCAACTAAAAACCGTGAGTGTAACCCACGTTTTTTTATGAAAAATGCCAAATTTTTATTTTCTCGTAATATTTTTTGTCACATCCCGGCCCGGGGGGGACCACTTCCCGGGTGCGCTCCACCACTGTAGCACGATATTGTCCGCTTTAGGCCCCGACCACGCCCTCACGGTTTTGTTTCTAGGAACTCACACGAGAACTTCCCAGTGGGTCACCCATCATGGGAGTGCTCTTGCGCGCTACTTGCTTAACTTCGGAGTTCCGATAGAACTCGAAGCCAATGAGCTCCCAAAAGGCATCGTGCTAGGTAGGGATGAGAATATACATATAAGGATCACTCCCCTGGACGATGTGGGATGTTACATTTTTCGTCAGTATTATAGAAACACATTATAAGGCATTTGGAAACAATTTTACAGTTTATTGAGACACAAATGTTTTTTTAGTAGAATATTTAAAACAAAAACTTAAAAATAAATGGACAAAAATTGTAGTGTGACATAAAATATTGTTGACACGAGGTCTCCATCTATTTAGAATATCAACAAAGTCTTATATGAATTTTCAAACCTCTCTGTGCTACGAAGGTGAAAGAAAATAAATTGTACAACAATTTTTGTACAAATTTACAAAATCATTGAGAAACAATGATGATTAGCCCACGTTTTAATTGAAAAAAAATGCTAAATTTTTTATTTCTACAAAATATTTCCCGGTATGAATAAAAGTACCTTATAGGTAATTAAAAGTGGCTTTACCATTTATTGAGCTACAAATATATTTTTAATAGAATATGTAAGCCGAAAACTAAAAAAATAAAATGGACAAAAATTGTAGTCAGGGCCCAACACATTGCCAAAACTAGACTTCATCTACAAGAATATCAACAAAAAGTCTTACATGAATTTGCAAAACCTTATGGTGCGATGGAGGTGAAAGCAAATAGATTTTTGTACAAATTTGCAAAATCGACAAAAAACCGTAATGATTAGCCAACGTTTTTTGTTGAGAAAAATGTAAACTTTTTATTTTTGAAAAATATTTTTCATCATGATTAAGAGTAAAATCTGTAACGCAATTGACAGTGACTTTACTATTTAATTAGGTAAAAATGTATTTTTAATAGAGTATTTAAGCCGAAATTTTTTGTTGTATGCATTAAAGAATTTATTATTAGTGATTTGGAGAGAGTCTTACCAAGTAATTTTCATTCAACTTTTAAACCGGAAAATGTGACTTTTGAGTCTGCATAAATCAGAAGCCGCACTCCAATTTTGTTGATGACAAAAACACAAAGATGATAAAACAAAATTGCATTAAGTAATCGTAGGTACACTTCAATGTCAATGAAGAAAAATGTGTGTGTGTGTGTGTGTGTGAGAGAGTGAGAGAGAGAGAGAGAGAGAGAGGCTATTGGATAATGTAAAAGAATAACGATGGCATTACAAGAAGAGATGATTTTTCCTTCCCCGAAAACTTGGCAATAAACTAATTCACTGACGTTCAACCGGATCTTCTTCGGTTCGCATCTTTGCTGGGCAGACCACTGTTTTCCTCCCACATTTTCCATCCATACCGTTTCGAAATTGAACATACCCTTAGTTAACAGGATCTTTACTAGTATGTTGAACGGATGAGCTCGTTGTCTTCGACCTTTCAAAAGTCCGGTGGTCTGTCAGCTCAGCGTCGATTATATGTTTAACGGCTCTGCCTCGCCGTCCCTCTCCTTCATTGATACCCAATCTTCAGTCTCTGTTGACAGAATCAAACAGTTCCAACCATGAGCACCAAAAATATTAAGGATGCCAAAGGATATGGTTGGAGTGAGACTTACTGGGCTTGTCTGAAATCGCCATGAGGCGCCTCTGCAAGAGACATGCTACGAAGAGGAAGATCGAGCACATACCAAACATAACTGTCATTGGAAACGCATCAACCTGCAAAGACATACAAAACCAACTCGCTAGTTACAAAAGAGGTGGACTGAGCACACTTACGTGATAACATCATGTCCGTAAGACAAAACAAGATTGCTTCACCCACATCTACAGGTCTAATGTAATTGCAAGGTCAAGAACTGTAACATACATTATACAGCACAACGCAGACAAAAATGTTGAGAGGAATGCGGAAGAAGTTCATGATGGTGCTCCTGGCCTCCTCGGGGATGTACTGAGATCTCATCTTCATGATGGACGGCCAGAATAGTCCTACACAAGCCTCAAAGGCACAGAATCCAAGAAGCTGGATACAACCAGCAAAAGAGATGCTCCCTCCTTTCACAGTGGAAGGTGCTACCAAGAACTGTTTGAAATTAGCAAAGTTAGGGAACGGCACAACATAGAATAATAAAGAAAACAATACACTGCAATCCTAACATACACTGGTCACAATGGGAAGCAGGAGAGAGGCAGCTGAGATGGCAAAGACAATCTGCATATAGCTCTCGACCCTAGGTGATTGTCGAGCCATCAACCGGGATGCAAGGGAGCTTCCAAGCATTGAAGACAACATGAAAGTGGCAAAAATAAAACCATGTGGAATGTCCTCGTCATTGGGGCTCAGAGCAGGAGTCCAGAGGAACACAAATGTATACATAGAACCTTCAAACAGAGACTGTATGGCACCCAGTAACGCGATTTTCTCATCTGAACCACATAAAAAAAGGTAATAATAAATGAGGCAGAACATAACAGAAAAATAGACCATGAGGTTGGAAAGGGAATGACAAGAAATCGCAGGACGTATGTAGGCTTAAACACCAAAGCCAACGATTAAACATACACAATTTATCATCCAAAACTATTAGTTTAAGTTTATAGTATACCAGAAGCAATGGCAACAGCAGCACCCCGGAACTGGGTAAACAAGTCCTTGCTCTCCGAAGGATCTCCATAATTCTCTGTCCATGTGCACAAAATCACAAACATTCCAATTGTGAGAAAGCATGAAGCAGCATCGAAGGGTGCCACAGGCCCAAGAGCCAGTGCATCAACCAGCGTATTTCCAAGCAACCCAGCCAAGATAGCAACAACACCATTGCCAAGAAATATTGCCTTTGAGAATGTAATTGACAGCCACTGTTGTTCAAAACCTCTCTGCACAGTCAAGATGAGGATCACATATAAGATTTATTGATACAAAGGGTTAAAATTCCGAAATCAATCAAATTTTTCACAGTTCACGCCCCCAACCAAGCGAAACAGCGCCTAGTTGAACTCATTGCCTATGTGTAACAAATAATGACATCCAAACAATTTACAAAGGCAACAATTTTTGCACCTCAAGCAAGCGATTTTTTTCTAGTATAAGCCAGTGAGCACGATAATAGTACCCTTCGAAGACAAATTCAGCCTGTTGAGTGAGGTGACCATCCACTAAAACTATACATCTAGAGTGGATCTGTGAGCAAACGATCTTAAAAAAATAGAGAACTTTAACGAAAAGCTTCCGGTACTATTCACTTTAACGAAAAACCACATTTTTACACTAAAAAGTCAATCATATACTATTCAATTTACCCTTTAGTTTGTCCTTAGCATTAAAACTTAAAATTTTCAAGCTTTTTCATTAGTTTTCCTTAAAAAAAAAAAAAAAAAAAAAAAAAAAAAAAAACAAACGAAGGGCAGAGCAACAATCCCTTACCTTGTTGTGTTCTGCAACAAGCCATGATTCAAATGCTGAAAATAGAAGTGATGTGGCAATACCGCCCAAAATACGCCCCAACATCAAAACTTTGTACTGAGGAGAATGCTTGGTGATGCAGCTCAGTATGTAAGTTATACAATAAGTGATGCACGCCCTCTTTCGGCCCCTAAATTCATGACACCATCAGTGAAAAGTTATTGAATAATCATGGAACCATTTAGCATATGACAGCGCGAAAACTCACTGTTTGTCTGCCAGAGATCCAACAATTGTTCCAAACAACATGGAGGACCCGAAACCAGCAATGAAAAGCTGTCCGATGTCGCCTTTTCCGTATCCGTACGTACTGTACAGGTAGTAGACATAAGGACCCTGCAACCAGTCCCCAGCTATCGCCATAAAACCATTAATTTGTCAGTAATTTAAACCAATTCTTCATTCAATCAGAGAAGTTCAAACATAATTAGCAAAATCCCCTCAAATTAATCTGCAACTCAGATCCAACTTCCTATTCACCAATTAAGAACAAATCAAAAGAAAATAGCTAGAATTAAAGCAATGCCAGCATCATTTTTCAACCAAGAAAACGATTAAAAATCCCAAAAATCTTATCAAAAACATGATCAAAACTATCGGAGACAAGCAGATCTCGCAAATGAGTACTTAAATTTCCACTTAAAACTCCATAAAACTCACTATTAGCATCAGATCGGATCAAAATTCATCAAATCAAGACACATGCATTTATACAAAAACGCAAACAAACACGTACGCATTGAGAGAAACGATAACTTGGGTTAGATCCAGTGGGCTTACCCATCATGAGAGAGTAAACGAAAAGGTAATTGTTCTTGAAGACGTTGAAAGTGGACGGGGTGTTGATTCGGTCTTTGTTGCTCTTGCTGAGCTCCGCCGCGGCCACCACCGCCGCTAGTATCCCGAACACCATGTAGTAGAAAACCTCCATTGTTACTCTCTGCACTCTAGAGAGACAAGGGAGAGAGAGAGAGAGAGAGAGAGAGAGAGAGAGAGAGAGAGTTTTAAGGTACGTGAAGAGAGAAATGGATTGTGTAAATATAGCACAAAGAGGGAAGACGATGGAGCTGCGATCCTCTGCATCAGCCCCTGTTTCTACAATTTGTAATGATTGGTCCTAAAGTTGTATGTTTGACTAAAGTGTGTTGACTTTGGAAACAGGTGTGGAGAAGAGTGCGAGTGCAGGAGAATCCCATGATAGAGATCGCGGGAGAGACCTACCAGGACGCGGTATGGTAATCTACCTATTTATTATGGCCCCTGTTGGGGTGATGTGACACGTGGCGACATCACGTTGCGTGATGTAGAGATTGTTTCTGTCGGTGGTACTTTTTTTTGTGGGACCAGGGATGTGGGAGTGGGTGATTTAACAGGAACAGATCTCAAATCAAAATCAGATGGTTAAGACTTAAAAGTAACGTCGGATGTTGTACCGCAAGTCTGGGTATGACGTAGACGATTTCCCTAACTTTTCAATATTTTTTTTTTTTAAACAAAATATATTATTTACAATAAAAAGAAGAATTCAAATTCGTCTTTGGCGATAATCAAATCTCAACTTTTCACTTACAAGTGAAAAATAATATCACTAGACTGTAGTATTAAGTGACACTAATTTGATGACTTTGGATTTTTTGTTGGTTGGTTTGGGATTTAGTTACACCTTTCCTATTTATCATTTATTGCAAAAATAAAATGTAAAATATAAGTTATTTATTTTTTGTTTAAGTGAGAGGCATGACCTAAGTAGGTCTTAGTGCTCTTTCTTATTTTTCAAATGCTTATGAATTAAATTAATCATAACAGTAATTAGCCACCTAACTACTAAGCGACGCTAGATGGAAACTTGTATAACACTAGTTACAAGTGAGTTTCTCATGTTATTCTTATAGTTTCTATCAAATTCCCTCTAAGTTGTGAGGTAATTCGCTATGCTTTTGTAAAAATTGTCGGACGAATAATGTGTTATGTTACCATAACTTTTTCTTCCCTTCATAATATCAAATATTAATTAAGATGTTATGTAACTTATATCCTTATCATGTAATTTTATTTGATTCGTTGGTAGGCCAATTTGAAATTAAAAAAGGCTAGCAACTTAATTACAACAACTTTTTTGGTTTTCAAAATTAAAAGATGGACAATTTTGGATAAATAGGTGTAACAGTTAATGTATTCAAAATCTTAAAATGATCACATCTGAATCAACCATTTAATAATTAACGGTCCAGAATATCTTTGAATACCTTAGATCACAAGTCATGTCCTAATTAATGCCTACCATATTATCAGCAGATGGTTGATGCTGACTTATTACAATTAATAAGAAATGGGATTCCTTTAATTTAATAGCATATTCTCCCTTTACTATCTATCCTGTCGGAAGATTTTTAAGTGTATCGAAGACACAGTCTAGTATCAAGTGTTATAAATTCATAATATAAATGATTGAATATTTAAAAAAAAAAAATCAATTACTTGTATTACAATACTTAATGTACCGAGTCGTATTTTTTGCACCGAAAAATTTGTCCATACCATGAAGCCATGGAGGAATGTTTACTGTGCAAATTATTAATGAATTATGCAGCTTTATGTAATTCAGGACCAACGGCAACGGAATCTCTCTAGTCCTCCACTATGGGGTGATCAGGGTATGTCGCAGCGTCCTTAATGATTGGACCCATTCATTTTTCATTCAATTTTCAAGTTTGTTTTAAGTAAGTAAACATGTCAATACGAGCATAATTGATATGTAAAAGAAGAAGGATAAAGGTAAACGAAAGTCAGGTTGGAAGGAGCATTGATCTTTTGTAAGTTGAAATTCTTTTCGAATTTTGTGTCTAAAGCAAACGGATCTGGAAATTCAAACTAATCACTTTAAATCATGCGGTCCTCATTAGCTAGCCCATCCTAATATCCCACTTCATAAAAAAAATAAAGTCTTTAAACGGTTCGGATTTCCGAGTCGGTCTGCTCCGGACATAGAGATCCTCTCAAGTCGATCCATGTTGGCCAATATGGATGGTCCTACAACAACTGAAACGGCAAAAGACCTCAGAAATATCCACCACAAACTCAGATTCTGGGAAGAGAAAGAGATAAAATCCCATAATATCCATGGCCCCTCATTTACTTCACTCAAAAAATAAGCACTCAAAACCTCCCAAAACACCAATTCCAATTGTTTCTCTATTGAATTATTGAAATTATTGATCCAGATTATTTAGATTATAAAGCTGCTGATTTCTTGGGGTTTTTGGAGGCCATAAATATATATATTAGGAATTAATGGCTTCTCTGACTTCGATCACACTGAACCAATCTTCTTCTTCCCCATTGGGATCATTGGCTTCAAAGCATTGTCACCATAACCAGAATTCCTGCTGGCTTACAGCCGTCGGATCAGTCAGATCATCATCATCAGCATCCACAAGGCAACGGTTTTCGTCACAGGGCCTCAGAATCCGTAGTGCAGCAACAAAACAAGCCAAAACGCCAGGTACAACTGTACAGCCTGTATTTACGTATATCAGAGTAGTTTAGAATATCGCTTTGTACAAAAAAAAAAACGATGACAACTGTACTTTTAATCCACCCTCACATGTGTTTCTTGATTATCTTGTTTTGGAGAGGTTAGCTGAAGAGGACTGGAAGACTAAGAGGGAACTTCTCCTACAGAAAAAGGTACACTTGATTTCATCTGAACAGATAGAGTTCAATCAAAGAACATAACACGTGAATATTCCGCTCTGATACCATGTTAGAACGTTAGCATTGAACTAAGAACAGAAGTAGAAGTTGATCTTCAACAATCGCCAACGCCGAAAATTTGAACAATGTGCAGGTGAGGAGTGTGGATGTGAAAGAAGCTCTGAGGCTTCAAAAAGAAAACAACTTTGTGATTCTTGACGTGCGCCCTGAAGCGGAATTCAGAGAGGTTTGGTTAAGTTTTCTTCAGTCGTGATTGCATTTGTCACCCTTAGCGTCATGCCAATCTCCGCAGGCAAGTTTGAGTTGGCTAACTAATTACCGGAAAATGAATGTCTGTGGTGAATGTAGGCTCATCCGGCGGGGGCGATCAACGTGCAAATATACAGGCTTATAAAGGAGTGGACAGCATGGGACATTGCCCGCCGTGCTGCTTTTGCATTTTTCGGCATCTTTGCCGGCACAGAAGAGAACCCCGAGTTCATATCAAGTATGTATAAGCTTTGCTTTGTCCGTAGACAACTTTTACAGCTACAGAAACACCAAATAATAACAATGTTGTGGTACATGATAACAGGTGTGGAATCGCAGCTAGATAAGAAGGCAAAGATAATAGTGGCTTGTGCCGCCGGCGGTACGATGAAACCGACCCAAAATCTCCCAGAAGGTCAACAGTCAAGGTGATTCAGTTTAATTTCTTCCTCCTCGAGACTTCGATTCATAGCAGAGTTGATCACTCACACCGGTCTCTGCAGATCATTGATAGCAGCCTACTTGCTCGTCCTCAACGGTTACACGAATGTCTTCCACTTAGACGGCGGACTTTATGCGTGGTTTAAGGAGGAGATGCCATCGGTCGCGGAAGAAGAAGAGTGAAGTGCCGGTGGTGGTAGCGGTATGAAAGAAAGATGCTTCTACGGAGCAAAGTTTTGTTCATAAATGAATGACTGCGTGCGTGTGTGCCAATGATTTCTCGGATGCAAATTGAATGTTCTTGTAATGAAAATACCAACAATGCATAGTTCAGACATAGCATGGAGAATTTGCCTCAAACCAAAGGGTTTATTTTCTCCAATGGTAATTCACAAAGGTAATTGGAGAAAACTCACAAAGTTAAGACACAGGATGATTGCTACAAGATGTATCATCACAGCAACCGGAGATCGTGTCCTTTCCACCACGCCCCATGTACACAACGCGTGACAATCCCGTATCAAAGTTGCAACTCATCTAGAATAGCAAGTCATTGAAGCACGAAAAGGTCGAATGTTTTTAAGCTTTACAAGGTGCCAAGAGAAAAGTTATCTTCTATTCCACATTAATGGATCAAATGGTGATAGCACGCGAGAGATGAGTGATCATGACGTCTCTTGAAGCCTGTATATAGTGATTTCTTGCTGCTTGAAATACCGTCGGTCCTCTTCATCAACCAGAACAAGATTCAAATAATACTTCACGCTGAATTTGTTATTGATGTTGCGATGTGTTGGTGTGAGTTCATAAGGGCTAAGAAACAATCTAATGGGAATTGATTCACCTGAAAAAGGCAAGCATGTGCATGTAAACCATTCATCTATGGACAGTTGAAGAATTGCAGCAAGCTTTAGACGTAAATCAATATTTCCGAAAAACTTCATTCACGTTTACCAGACCATCCCAGTTGAAAATACAAATGTGCTAAAAAGATATTTCAAATTACACAGCCATCACCCACCTGCATGAGCATAAACCTGGATATATAAGAAAGCGGAAGAGTTAATGAAGATACCTCTTACTGGAGCACCATCCATCAACTCAAACTTAGCAAGTGTCTCTGTCTCAACATGGGTATTGGGCCCCTGACCCTGTTGACTCTCGACGCCTGATCTCCAGATCCATATTCTTTATTTTGATTCTCACAAGAAGGAAATATATCTTGCCAATAATAACATCTTTCAGATGGTACCTGTATATCAAGTATCAACACACCAATAATTAATGCCAAATTGTTCTCTTTTGTTTTAATAACAACTCTAGGCACGAAGTTCTTGTACAAGCCCGCTATATACAAGTGCAATCAGGCTATGGTTGTAAAGGCAATGAAACGTAACATTTGAAAACAGCCATTGTTTCCAGGATTTCATCTCATGCATATAAACCACTAATGATAAACACAAAACCCTGAACATGAAATGCATTTCGACTTACTTGCTCTTGTTGTACTCAAACTCAATGTGCAGACAATCTTCGATTCCGACTTCCATCTGCAAAGGCAATAAAATTAGAAGACGATCCATTGAGGGAGGACTAACAATGGGGTGGCTGTTGCATCACACTAGATAGATGCACCATAAAATGGAATTAGGTAATGGATGAATAGAAGTAAACTTTTTTATTGCATTCCTTATTTGGTACTCACCTTGATGCTATTGTTAATAGATGGAGGTGGGGAATAGTTGCGAACCTGAAGCACAGAATGACATCAATACAAACTATGAGAATGCTACATGACTAGTGAGTGTGAATGGTACAGATGATCACTTATATGGAAACACCGTAAGTTGTAAATTGTGAGCAGGTTATGGAAGCATAGATAATAAAAAGTGACAATGCACAATGCTCAAAAGATCCTGGTATTCTGAGAGAGAGAAGGAGACTACCACAAAATCCTGATATTCCACTATGCTGCTACCATAACCACGACTAATTGTGACTTTCAGAACATACCTGGGAAAAGAAAACTTACAATATGTCATAGCATGAATTAATTATTATGAACATGATGTTTTCCATCTACACTAGTGTAGAAAAACGTAAAAGGTGCCAATAGATATTTACTTCAATAAACAAAATAAGAATGAAAATATAAATAACTATCAGTGTCTTAAAACTTACCTAAGTCTCACATTCACCCCATTGTAAGTCTCATATGGCATCTCAACTGTAGAAAACTCGAAAGGATATGTTTTCCTTTCATATATCTCTCCAGGAACATCAAGTTCACGAACTGTTAACAATAGTAATGCACTTAGAGCTTTGAAGAATACGGTGGAAGGGATAAGCAACAAATTTAAAGCCAATTAAATGGAACACAGCACCTTTTTTTCTTCAGTAAAAAATTGGAACGCCAAAATTATAATAGGGTTCATTTCTAATGTAAAAGGTTGTAAAGAAAGTACCAAAATCAGTAGTTTGAAAAACTGAGTAGAAACCGTACAGAGCTAATGAATGAAGCATAAGCAAACTCACCAAGAGAAGTAAAGTCATAAAAGTTGCCTCTGTCAAAGTACATCTCTGCAACATAAAATAAAGTCTATTAGAGTGCTAGCAATTCGATTAGCATGCTGTCAACCAAAAACCAAACCTCATGCTATTATTTTCACATCAAACCTCCATCATCCCAATTCATCCAAAATATAACACAGGACACTAGCAAGACAATAAAAGAAAAAAACAATACCAATTTGACCGAGAAGCTCGACCTTAACTCCATTGTGTTCGACCTTCTTCCCTTGAATTGGTTCTATATTAATCTGACAATGACAACAAAGAAAGGAAATATCTTTAAGAGGTGATCTTTATAGTCTAAACTACTCAAAATCAATTTCCTCAAGATTCAACCTTTGTGTACTATAATGCTTATCATTTAAAACAATACAATCAAACAATTTACCTTCCCAGAAATGTTTTCTTGACTTTGAAAAAGTGGGACCAATACTGCTTGGCCACTTTCCTTCTTTAAAGGGACCTACAAAAACAGATCAGAAATGAGGGGAAGAAGTATGCGATTTTCCAATCCCATACAGTTGTATTTTGGATAATAGATTCGCAATTAATAAAGCCATGGATAAATAAACCACTAAATAAAATGATCTATTGGAACTAACAAGGAGCAAGAGCTACCATCTATAATATGTACGATAACGATCTTGAAAGGGAAAATATCTCAATGTACTGTTTGCATGTAGATTACCTGCTTCCGAGTTTTGGCATCAGAAAATGTGATTGAAATGTTGCAGGATGGTTTGAACGCTCCAATTAAGTAATTCTGCGACAAATTTGAAATGAGCCATATTAATACTACAAAGAATTCCTCGCGGTTTATAACCGGACTAAACAATAACTGCAGAAACCATTAGCTGTTCATGAAACCTTACCATGTTGATCAGGATAAAAACCCCAGTTCCTAATAGCTCCCTCAAGAGACCTGCAAAATCCAATGTGGACAATTCATGCCTCAACACACATTATAAAGCATGCCTATCTTGCTAATCGTGTATACCAAACACTAAAATCATAGTTTCCCTTAAGACCCGAAAAGTTCACCTAAATAAACTTTAAAACTAATAGTAGTCAACTTAAGACACACATAGCTTGCACTTCCAAAGGTGCAAAATTTACCTGTTTATGCACAAAAAAAAGTTGTTCTAAGCTCGTAAACCACAATTTACTCATTAATCCTACAATTTAAAAAGCTAAAACCCCAATGCATGAATTGTAACCTAACCCAAAACAGCTAAAATGCACAACCACCCAGTATTTCCAAGCTCAAAACTTGTGCCCTAATTCTCATAGATAAAAAGGATTTCCCAATTTAACTGCATATATACCTAATTGGCTCTAAATAGGTATAAAATGGGGAACAATTGAGATCAAAATTCAACCGATCATCAGCCTAAATCAGAAGAAAAGTAAATTTAAAGCGAAGATTGAAAACCGAGTTGAAGATTTATGAATTTCACGTACCTTATGACGACGAATAGAGAGATCGGCGAGCGCTGCGAATTGGGGTTTTAGGGCTGACGGAGAAGAAGAGCGAAACCACCCCTTGATTGACGGTTGGGAATGGGACTCAAAGTCTATTGCTTTCTTCTTCAAGCCATGATCGCTCTCACGTGCGAGCACGTGACCGAACCTTTGGTTTTCCCTTTGGTTTTTATTTGATTTAAAAAAATCTTACATTGTTTGTGAAAACTTCCAAGTTGCTTGAAAGATTGCAAATAACAAATGAACAAAACTTGTCTTATTACCAGTTACATAAAATATATGTTTATTTATTTCATCACATTATTAGTTTCGTAATAGAAACTTTCGATACGATGACGTAACCAATAAATACTCAATATAGTCAACTGACTCTTCTCATATTAATAAATTACGTATTTGTATATGTTCAAAGTATTTTGTATATATTATTTTCAAGGCATGACTCTTCTCACCGACGGAACCTTCTATAAAATAAAAGCTGACATAAATTTCACAAATATGCAAATTCTGAGTAGTTGACCAGTATGTTTCTAGGACTCATAAGATTATAAAATAATAATAATAATAATAAAAGGAGAATATGGATGCTAAATATGATAATAGTTGTGGTTATTTATGAAATAAATTTTTATATTACTGAAATTTACTACCCTTGCATGGAGAGGCATTATTATAGCACCTCAACCCGTAATGGGGTGAATCAATCAACTTGACAAAACTAAAGATTTTGTAGCTATTAGATGATTTTATTTTGTTCTGTTTTGTTTTTTTGTTAATTTGACGTTTTTAATAGAATTTCTGGCTACATCACAATTTCAACACATACCAAACTTAAGCCTCAACCCTTAAAAGAAAGCCTCACCTAACAAAAATCGATGGGTAATGCTAGGGAGATCAATTTTTTAAAACCAAATTTACAAACCAAATGAGTAGATGATTGAATTATTAATTAAATGTCAATTAACATGTTTATTTCTTATTGAAAACACATCATTTGATTTACAAAATTTGGTGCACGTAGCGTACCCAAAACGAAAACTTTGACTTGTCAAAATAGTTAGGCGCCTCAAAAATATGGGTCATTGGCTTAACCAGGTCAAATCAAATTTTGCACGTATATTTCCTCATTGTCCATAGAAGTCATTTCCTTTAAGCTTTTGAATTAACAAAAAATATTCTAGTAAAAAAAGAAATTAAATCCGTCGTCAAGCGTTATTTTACAATGGGACTAGGTATTTTGAATTTAAAAAATAAAGAGAAATACTTGTAAAATTACGAATTCACCCTTTCATGCCGCGAACCATCCAATATTTCCGCAGAACTCGAATCCAACGGCGGTTCTTCCTTCCTCCGACTTCCCATTCTGAAAAGACCGTACAATTTCTTAAACTCCCTCACCGTGTGAACACTCTCCCGGCAAAAAACGCCGCCGGGTTCGCCCGACTCGTCGACCGACCGACCCGACGAGCTATTCGTCAACGCCTGCGCGGCTTTGTTCGCGTCCTTCTTACTATCCACATGCGTCTGCAACGCCGAGATAACCGACTTCAAAGCCCGACTCGGCGAGCTCCGATTCGAAATCATAATCTCGCCGATCTCCGCCGGGCTCAGACTCGCGCCGCCGTGGAAAATCTCCTCCACCTGCGGGAACAGCTTGTGTTCCTTGAGCCCGAGGTAAGTGCTGGCCAAGCTCTTGAAAGCGGAAAAATCGCAGAGCGGAAAATGGATGGGGACGTCGACCCGCCCCGGCCTCAGAACTAACTGGTCCACCTGATCCTTACAGTTCATTG